TATTCCCTTTTTCTCTCTAAATTTAATATTTTATCCCTCCAATCACAACTATTGTATCTTATGTTAAAAAAATTACCCAAATACAACTCCTTTTTTCTTTTTTAATTCTACTTTTCATTCAATACAATTATTCCCTCTTTCTCTCTAAATTTATAATATTTTATCCCTCCAAGCATAACTATTGTATCTTATGTTAAAAAATCACTTATATACAACTTTCTCTCTAAATTTTACATTTTATCACTCCAAGCATTCTCAAATAATGTATCTTAAAAAAATTACCCAAATACAATCCTTTTTTCTTTTTTAATTCTATTTTTCATTCAATACAATTATTCCCTCTTTTTCTCTAAACTTATCCCTCCAAGCACAACTATTCTATCTTATGTTAAAAAAATTACTCAAATATAACTCCTTTTTTCTTTTTTAATTCTACTTTTCATTCAATACAATTATTCCCCCTTTCTCTCTAAATTTATAATATTTTATCCCTCCAAGCACAACTATTGTATCTTATGTTAAAAAATCACTCAATACAACTTTCCCTCCTCTTTCCTTTCTTAATTCTATTTTTCCTCACAATTTCACTCAACCAATACAACAATATTCCCCCTTTCTCTCTAAATTTTACATTTTATCACTCAACTATTACTATATCCTAAATTCATAAGAAAGAAAAGATCTATCAATTCCTACTAATTCATTCCAAAATTACATTGCTCGAATCACATTTGGCATGCCAGATATTATTCACCATTTCATTGGGTCCACCCAATACGACTATCAGCAACCACTACACCTCCTATTATAAATGGAGCAAGCGGAGGGAGTTTGTACGAATACCAAGGAGCGTGGCAAAGAGGAAAATATCCCCGAGTCAATGGCGAGGGGGAGAGAGGGTGGCGGGAAGGGAGCAGCGAGGGTGGACGCGTGCGAGGGAGCCTCGATCGTGCATGTGTGGGCGACTCTATAGCTTGTTGCGGATTATGTAGCCTCGCGTAGGAACATGTGTCCGTTATATCGCTCCAGAGTTACCAACTCTTGGCCAAGGCTTCTTCTTCCCTTACCCTCCGTTACCTGAGAGGCTGCTCTGCCTACACATACACGCATCCTGTGCATAGATGCTCGCGCGTCTATCGTAAATATTTCACGTTGATGTGACGTGAATTAAGCGGCTTAAGCGGATCAAGGGATTGGATATCGTTGGTCTATTCTTCCTCTTCTTCTTCTCTACACTCTCGAATTCGAGGATCGATTAAATTTGAAAAATTGCACGATTCCTTTTTTTCGAAACGAATTTTCAATTCATTCGAAGAGTTGATATGAACGATAAATAAATATAGAAGAGTATACGATATGGATATATTGATGTATTCTCTGTCGTGACGGTAATATTCTTCGAACAACCGTATCCGTTTCCAATCCAAGAATGAATATCCGGCATGTACGTTTATCGATTCGCTATGGACTGATAATTCACGTCAATTGTATCGAACAATAGGAACAATAGGGATGGAAATTATAAGTATATAATATAAATAGAATTTTATATACTAATATTTCGAATATTTTAATTTCAAGTTAAATAAATAGAAATTCTTAGGTTTCTTTTTTCTTTAATCGAGACGAAACGATTATTATTATTTCTTAATAATAATAAAGTAAGAAAATTTGAAATTTAAAAAAAAGGCTCTTTTTTTTCTTCTAAAGAAAGAAGAAAGGAGAAGGCGAACGACAAATGAAAATTTTATGGGAAAAGTATATAAAAGTCGTGTAAAGGGAGAACAGTTATAAAAGTCCCATCCAAATTTAGCACGCTGATCAACGAACTTTTCATCCCTGGATCACACATTCTCATCTGCTTGCAACGTAACGAGAATCACCTCCTTCACCCGAGAATAAGAATAAGAAGTTGGGTTATAAAGTAAAATCAAAACTGGTAGCGAACACTGGTGAAACATTCCGAACTCTGTGGGGGGTAAACTTGTTAGAACTGTTTCCAAATTGAACTTTCTAACTTTTATTTTTTTCTTTCTTTTTTTTTTTTTTTTTTTTTTTTTTTTTTTTTTTTTTTTTTTACTAAAAACTACCAACTTGTCAAGTTCGTCGAACTTAACTAAACGAACAATAAAACAGGAAAGTTGGTCCAAATTAGAGGGAAAAGTTTGGCTTAACTTCAACTCGATCGACTTTCCACTTTTCCTTCTTCCGCTTCTTCTTTTTTTTCTTTTTTACGATGACTGTATAATTCTAGCGCCCTCTATTCTCGCCCAAATTTATCGTACACGGGTCGAAAGTTCACTTCTCTCAGAAATTTTTTTCTTCGAAAAGACGAGCTATCGACAAGTAATATATATATATATATACATTACTCTCAAGTATTATTCCAAAGATGGATTCTATCACAGAAGCAAGTCTCTATCTTCCAACCAGTGCCAATCTCAGTTTCGATCTCCATCGAATCGATCCACTTCGAAGGTGTGTCTCACGAATATATATATATTCAACGCTCTGTGTATTACCAAGTTCGCGGTAATAATTTTCTATCCGAAGTGGCGTCGAACCGCGGAGGGGAAACTCGAAAATTGAATTTCAGTAATTATCGTAAGTGGATCGGGGGTAATACACGGGTTTCCCGAATCGAAGTTGAGAATTCGTTCTTCTTCCCGAGGAGAGATTGGAGCCGCAAGCATCGTTAGCGTAAGAGAGAATTGGAGTAAAAGAAACGGTGTGTTATTCGTTATATCGAACGTCCTCAATTCCTTAATTCCATCGGTAACACGATACTTTCGTTTGTTTTCACTCTCTCTCTCTTTCTTTCACTCGTTTGTTTCGATCGAGATCGAGCGAGGAAAATTTTTATATTTCTCGAAGATGGATAATTTATTCTTTGGAAATTTATTATATTATTGGAATTTGAGGAAGGGGAGGAAATATTCATTTTGCGAGATTCTTCGATTAATTTTAAAATATTAATTCCATAAACAAATAATAATTTTAATAATAAAATTGAATAGTAACGCCATTTTTCTTTTTGGAAATTTGTATTATATTATAAAGGTTTTAAATTGATCTAGTTTCCTTTCTTCTTCTTAAACATCACCCCAAACAAATGATAATATCGAATAATATTTATTTAATGCTACTTTTTATTGGAAATTTATATTATATTATAAAGATCTTAAATTGATCTAGTTTCTTTTCTTCTTCTCATCCCAAACAAATAATAATTTTCGATAAATAATATCGAATAATGTCTAGTAACGCCACTTTTCTTTGGAAATTTATATTATATTATAAATTGATCTAGTTTCTTTTCTTCTTGTTAAACATCCCAAACAAATAATAATTTTCGATAAATAATATCGAATAATGTCTAGTAACGCCACTTTTCTTTGGAAATTTATATTATATTATAAATTGATCTAGTTTCTTTTCTTCTTGTTAAACATCCCAAACAAATAATAATTTTCGATAAATAATATCGAATAATGTCTAGTAACGCCACTTTT